CGCGCCGCCGCGCCGCCCCGCCGCCAACGGCGACGCCGTCGCCCAGTCGTCCACCCACGCCGCGCCAGGATCTCCGCCGCCACGTCGGACCGCCGCCGCCGAAGAGCACCCCCCGGCGCACACCGCCCCGCGCCGGGGAGCACCGAGAGGGGAAGGGCAGGAGGCCGCCGCCGCCAGCAACCCAGGGGCCAGGCCTGGCCGCGGGTGCCGGCGACGGCGGCGGGGAGGGAGGGAGGGAAGGGGGGGCTCTAGAGGAGGGGGGGCGCCGGAGCGCGGCCGGTCGCCCGCGGGGACGACGCGGTCGCGCGAGAGGAGAAGAAAAGGAGAGAGTCGCCCTGCAGGCACTATTACAGTGTCCGAAGTGTAGTCTTTTGATCAGACATATATAATTTGTTGATTGCTTTGTTGTTTGTTCCTGCAGAGCATACCACAGAAATTTGTGAACAATTTCAGAGGCCGGATCTCTGAAGTTATGAAGCTAGAAGCTCCAGATGGATACATATACAACTTTAAGGTTACCAAGGATCTGAACAAGATAGTCCTTAGATATGGATGGGCAGCATTTGCCAGTGATTATGAACTAAAAGAGCATGACTTGCTGGTGTTCAGATACATTGGGGACTCTCACTTTAAAGTCCTAATATTTGACCCAAGTGGTTGTGAGAAACAATCATTCCACATTGTCTTGAACCATGCTCCTAATGTACCAAAAACAGGCATATCTCATGATCGGTCATTCATCAGGGAAACAAGGCGCCGAGACTGCGGATCACACGATAACAACAGTAGGAAAACTAAAAAGATGACTCCGGTGGACTCTCCTTCACCGAGATTTGGTAAAGAATTGCTAACTGATGTACATTTTCATTGGTACCTGTAATTGCTAACTGATGTCTTGATGATCGGGGTTGTGGAGCAGAAGGTGTCACATCTCCAGAAGTCACCATGAATTCATGTGGCCTTCGGGAAATCGCCGAGCCTCACTATGTCCTAGCAACGGGGTGCAATCTGACTACAGCACAGAAGGCAGAAGTCGACGCGCTTGTGAAGAAAGTTAGGCCTGTAATTCCATTTTACATCACAGCCATGAACAAGACAAGTATGTCTGGATCTCTGGTATGTGTGCAGTATCCTCTACAGATTCAATGAGACTCCTGCAACATTTGTTATTTAATGTTCAGATCTCTTGTCTAAAATTTTGTTGGAATTTTTAAAATTATAGTAGCTCTCTGTAAATTACAATCTTCAATAATTTGAAAGCGGTGTATCACGATAGACATTCCAATCAATGGTTGAATGATGAATATCATCGAACTATTCCATTCCACTGCTGAATGACGGAAACTGGAGTTTTTTCTTACTGATGGACTGATCCTGGGAATCCTGATGATTCATTCATCTGTAACAGGCCATCTGCAAGGATTACGCTGCCAAATACCTTCCACATGAAGACCAATTCATCACACTCTGCCATCCTCATAAGAGCAACATATGGGTAGATAATTTGAAGGTTATCACTGATGGTTCATGCATGCTTTCTGTTGGCTGGTCGTGCTTCGTTCTCCACAACGAGTTGCGGGAAAGTGACATCTGCCTATTTGAAGTATCGAAAAGTGACGGTGAAGTGACAATGGTTGTTCATTCTCTTGAAGGAGGTCATCACCTACAAGGTGAGTATGCAACACATTGACACCTGCACACATGACATTAAAAATAACCCTCAGGATCGCCAACTTAAAAAAGATGAATTTATGAGACAACATAGAAATAGACTCCTTTGTTTTATGTAGCCAGACCTGAACCAGTATGGAATCAAGAGTGAGTTAGTGTCACTTTACTTGATCATTTTGGAATGCCCATTTGTGTTTGTACAGGGAAAAAGCCCGAATCTCAAAACAAGTGCACTTATCCAGTTAAGGTCGAGGTGACCGAGGAAGAGGACAGTGACAAAGAACATGCTGAGTCCAACTACTACTACTCAAGGTATGCCTATGACCTGACCGGCGAGGAGCAAGAGGAGATATTCAGGTCAGCGTTGATTCAACAGGGCAATCCGGTATACGTCGCCGTCCTGCAGGAGAATCATGTTAGCAGCAGGAATAACTTGCTGGTCAGTTCAGTTGTTCCTCTAATCACGAACTGGAAGACCTAGACAGTTCATTAGACCGTCTTTGATAGACTTTGTGAACCGTCTGTGCCATAGCTTTCCGTACTAATGACTAATGTTCTGCTGTACTGTATATGCAGACCTTTCCCAGAGACTTTGCGGCTAAGCATCTCGCGGAGAGGTCGCACGACATCCTGCTCCTGAGACCTAACAGGAGAGAGAAGTGGTGCGTGAGGTACTACTACCATTCGATGATGAGGATACAGGGTTTCAGCTACAGCTCCTGGACCAAGTTTGTCTCTGACAACGGGCTGCACGAGGGCCATGTCTGTGTCTTCGAGCTGATGAAAGGCGTGTGTGAGGCCACGATGATGGTCCACGTTTTCAGGAAGTTCAATGGCAGGTTTGTTCTGCTGGACTAACTAGTTAGGTTCCTGCGTAGCTGCATCCATCTTAATTTGTGGTTGAATAACTGAAGCTGTTGTCACCGGGAGCTGAAATGAGAGTAGCTTGTGTACCAGTAGAAGTAGTTTTTGAAACGTACCATGTGAATGTTCATTCCTGATTCACCAGCCATGACTGTGATTTCAGAACCAAGAGGAGTATTTCAGCGCTTGTAGCCGTAGGTAGAAGGCCGTGCCAAAGCATCTATGGCTTACTCCCCTGAAATTTTGTTGAATGTAAATCGGTTGACTGAAATTTTATTAAATCTAAGCCTGAGTCCCAGCTAGTGGATAGCTGTGTGCACATGTTACTGGAGGACAGCTACTCAGCTAATCGGCGACGAAAAGTTTTAACTTGTAACTCGTGTGTTCTTGTGTGGGTTATTCTTTAAGTGGTGATCGACTAGGAGAAATTAATTGTTTGTTGCATGATCTGGTTCTCGCGGCCGCTTTGGCTATTTTGTTGTGGCTTTTGTTAGACCTGTGATGATATGAAAGCGTGTAGTTGCAAAATTCATCAATGGCTCTTTATCTGGTTTTGCAAAATCAGAAACATGTCGAGCAAATTTGCAGGAGTGGATGATCACAACATCAACAGCAAGAACCAACCGCTAACATATTTTATTTTTGAGATTGAGATCGAGAGATGTAAACCGCCGGATGGATAAGGGTTAGACGAGAACTTACAAATTGATGAGATGTTAGCATATTTTGTTATTATTGTTGTTCTTGTTGTGTCCATGATGACGATGAAAATAAATTTAGAATTTCAAAATAACATCTTCTCGACTCGCCGAATAAGTTATATCCCATCCAATTACTTGTCATAGCATATAACTTGCTTTGTTTGTGTTAGGACCCAATGCATAAGAAACTAGATTCCTTCCTGATTAAATCAACTATATTCCAGGCCATTCCATCTATGCATTGCCACATAAGGCACAACTATTATGCTTCCCCCTGGATATATCATACAGAATCAGGCTAGTTACAGTTGGACACACATATAGCACACAAAATTGAAAAAATAGTTTGCACATTCAAGCCGTAAAGGCTAGATGTATTTCCGAACCCTCTCATCCCTAAGTAGTTGTGCATTCGACAAGCAGGGAAGCAGTGAGATCCTTCTAATCCTAGATTGACTTGTAGGTATGAGAAGGTGGTAAAGAAAGAGTACTCAATGAGAGAAAAGTAGTAGAGCCTGGGTGATCTCCAGGCTAGAGTTCTTATGTGAAGATATACACTGCGTAAGAAGATGATGGGTGAAAAATGATCTGATATCATCAATGAAACCTGCACCACATGTGACCTGAGATTGTCTTGCATCGCAATTATACCTAGTACTCCATGGAGGTGTCGG